ACCACCTCTGTGGGGAGTGAGCCCTGTCACCAGGCATCCAGCAGAAGTCTGGACAGGCACTGATGGAACAGAGATGACTCTAGAGTAGCCCTGGGGTGTCTGGGCTGGTGGAGGAGACAGAGGGGCTCAGGTAAAGGCAATGAACAGGGGTCTGGGGTATGCTGATCAAGCAGCATGGGCTGCGGATAAGGCATCCACGCATTTAAACATCCTAGCATGCTTTGAGAACCCAGCTCTATGTTTGGTACTCTGCCCCCAAAGGGTGAGGGCAAGAGAGATGAAGGTGGGCCATTGAGATGCTCAGAGCCTGGTGGGGACAATCAACCCAGGCCTTCCTCCTTCCCTCAGGCACAGCCCGGGCACAGTCATCATCAGGGGGAGCAGGGAGGGGAGCTCCAGTCACTGAGCTCCCCATACACACACCAAACCCCAGGCGACCCCACCCTGTTGTCTAGGCAGCCTGGCCCTGAGACAGCCTTGTGCTGAAGCCCTAGAGTGGGACATCCAATTGGACAAGGGGGACATGGGCGCCAGGCCCTGTGCCAGACGGTTTCCCCTGACTACTACCACCAGGCACCAAGGGGGCTGGGGAGTGAGGCTAAAAGGCAGCCTGCATGAATGTGGGAGGGACTGGCCAGGACCTCGACACCCTGCCCTGGAGCCCTGGCCACCCCAGGACCTCCAGCTGCCAGTGGGTTATCTGCCTCACCACTGCCCATCCAGCACTTCTCCTGTGGTCTGACAGCAGACTCCTTTTTAATGCATTTTTTCCCCGGTTCCCAAGGAAGGCTGGTAGACAGAAGGAGCCCACAGCCTGCCAGGCAACACCCCGCAACACCACCCATCACATGTATATGTACCAGGCCAGCAGCTATAGGCTGGGCTGGATTCTCTTGGAGTTTTCCTAGGCCCAGCCTGAGCTGTGCAGCAACGTGGGGTTCAGGTGGCAAAGCTGGACCCAAGCCAGGCCCAGCATGGCCAAGGAAGGTCAGCTCTGGCTTCCCCGCCCCCAACAGGAGGGCTCTCCATGGCTTCCTGGCCAAAACTCCTGTGGGTAGTTTCTTGGTAAACTACCCACTCCCAGGGGAAGGGTAGTTTACTGAGAAACCTGCCATGGAGCCATGTTCTCACTACCTTGGAGTAGACCCCCAACTCTGGGCAGAGCAGAGACTCTGGGACTGTCTTCCAGGAGCTGGCACCGTGGACCCCTGTCTATTCCGCTAGCCAGGCCCTCAGTCCATCCCAAGGGTCAAAGAGCCAGAGCCAAGGCTGGATGGCAAGGCCTCCTCTGAAGCAGAAGCTTAGACTCGAAAGCCCCCCATGCTCCAGGCATTTGTGCCCTAAGGTGGTGAATGGTGGAATGCTTTCTGCCAGAATCCAGTGTTCCTGAAGGAGTAGGCCCTAAGGCTCAGTCTCCATCCTCAGCTATCACGAGGGCCTGGTCAGGGCTGATGCTGTCTGGCTGGCACTATTCTAGGAACCTGTTAGGATAAAAACATCTCAGGGGTTTCCAGGAAACATCCTACTTTAACGGGCCCTTAGCTCCTTCTCCCCAGAACTTTAAGACAAAGCAGAACTTTTACATCTGTGACCAGTGAGGTGAGCAGGACTGTTATTCTCATCTTCATTTTACAAGGGGAGAAAATGCATCCTCAGAGAAGGGATGAGACTGGCCCAGGATCCTCTAGTAAAAAGTCAGTGAAAAGGCAAGTCTAGATCTGGGCTTCCCAACCTAACTCACATCATGGCACATTTACAAAATTATCATTGGAGTAAATGAAGGATGCCGGAGGCTAAAGCACCCATGGGAAGTCCCGGGCATAGTGAACAAGGAAGAGAGTAAAAGGTGCTGGGGTTACAGAGGAAGCAGAGGACAGATCACGTAGAGGTTTACTTATTTATTCTGAGATGGCATCTCGCTGTCACCCAGGCTGGAGAGCAGTGGCACAATCATGGCTCACTGCAGCCTCCATCTCCAGGGCTCAAGGGATCCTCCTGCCTCAGCCTTCCTGAGTAGCTGGGGCCACAGGCATGTACCACCATGCCCAGCTGGTTATTTTTATTTTTAGTAGAGACAAGGCCTTGCTATGTTACCCACACTGGTCTTGAACTCCTGACCTCAAGCAATCCTCCTGCCTCAGTCCCCCAAAGTGCTGGGATTACAGTCATGAAGCCACTGCGCCCAGTCCACACAGAACTTTGTAGGCACCAGGTCAGGAGATAGCATGGGAAGCCACTGGAAGCTTTAGGTAGGAGTAACATGATCTGATCCCTCTTGCTGCTGGATTGAGGACTGGCAGAGGGACAGGAGAGAAGCTGGGGTCTAGGGAGGGTCTGCTGCAGTCATCCAGGTGCCAAGTAATAGTGGTTTGGACTGGGTAGAGGACAAAGAAGAAGGAAGAAGTGGTGGGATTCTAGATATACTTTGAAGGTAGAGCATTAGGATTTGCTGACAAATTGGATATGAAGTATCAGAGAAAAAGGAGTCAAGGATGACTTCAAGGTTTTTAGTCTGAGCAGCTGAAAGGACGAGGTGACCATTAACAGAGGAAGACAGGGAGGAGCGTTTGGGGCAGGAAGTCAGAGGGTCTGATCTGGATATGTTGAGTTTGGGAGGCATTTCAGACCACCAAGTAGAGTTGAGTAAACATTTGGAAAGTAGAGTTCCTAGAAGTGGGGCTGGGATAGAAATGTGGAATCATCACATGAAGATATTTAAAGCTGTAAACCCAGATGAGGGGAAGATGGAAGCCAGAAACAAGGTGAAGGAGTGGTCTATGAAGCTGGAGGAATATCAGGCAGTGTAGCATTCTGCAATCCAAGTGAAGAAACTAGTTCAAGGAACTGGGAGAAACGAATTGTGTCTGATGCTGCAGAGCGGTCGGGTAAAATTACAACTGAGAATTGACTACTGAGTTCAGGATTGCGGAAGTTATTGGGACTGTGACAAGTCATCTGGTAGAGGGATGGGGCAAGACACCATCTGGCTGGGTTGAAGAAAGAATGAGAGCTGAGAACTAGGGGCAGTGAATGTGGACAGGTCTGCTGAGGTTTCTGTAAAAGGGAGTGAGACAGGAGGTGGCAGTAGCTGGGGGAAGATATAGAGATGGGAGAAATGGCAGCCAGTTTGTACCCTGATGGGAATGAGACAGGGTGTACAAAGTGCATGACACAGTCCCTGGCACATGGCAGGTACCAGATACCTGAAGGAGTTCACATGTGTCCACACACCCTGCAGCTGCCCCAGCCTCTCCTCTTCCTTGCCAGCCACCTATAGCCACCTCCTTTCCTCATACTCTGTCTGAGGAAAGGAGGAAGCCTGGGTAGCCCTGTTATGTGAGACTCTTTTTGGTGAGCAGACAGATGAGTAGGGCAGGCAGCAGTGTCAGCACCTTCCCCAAGACCAGAGGGGAAGGGTGAAGCTTGTAGCCCAGAGGCAGGAATATGAGGGAAGATGCCAGCAACACGGCTGTTGCTGGCAGGTGAGGGGGCCTGTGCCCAGCTGGGAGCTTCATGCCCTGGTTACAGTGGGGCTTATACCCAGCCTTCCATCTGGGCTTGCCCTGGGCTCCAATACCAAGTGCCATGAGACTGTGCCAGGCCCCCTCACCATGAGGCACCCTTCTCCAGGCCCAGAAATAAAGGGGCTGTGAACTCCATTCACTACTAGGAGAGAAGCCTGAAGCTCTTGAGGAGTCTGGCTAAATTCACCCAGTCAGAAACTGTACCCACAGAGTGGGGAGGAACCCAGGCCACAGCCCTCATTACTGTCTTGCCGCAAAGATGTCCCGTTCCCTCTCTGCCAGGGGTCAGAGATCACTCATCCATACTCTTAGCCAGCAGCACCCCTGCAGACGGGCTTTTCAAAGTGGGAAGTTGAACTTGGTTGCAGATGATGTCTCCAAGGCCTTGACCCATGCAGATGTGCACTGAGAATACTGTAGACCTGGGCCTTGGCCCTGGTAGCGACTCTCTGCAGCCAAGTCTCCCTGGGGAGCCCCTCTTCCAGCCTGCTGACTGAGTCATCTCTTGATAGAGCAGTGCAACTAGTGTGAAAATAAGAGTTCTGGCCAGGTGCAGCAGCTCATGCCTGTAATCCCAGCACTTTGGGTGGCCAAGGCAGGTGGATCACTTGAGGCCAAGAGTTCAAGACCAGCCTAGCCAACATGGCGAAACCCCACGTCTACTAAAAATACAAAAATTAGCTGGGCACAGTGGCGGGTGCCGGTAATCCCAGCTACTCGAGAGGCTGTGGCAGGAGAATCACTTAAACCGCTGGGAGGCGGAGGTTGCAGTAAGCCGAGATTGTGTCACTGTACTCCAGCCTGGGCCACAGAGCAAGTCTCTGTCTCACAAAAAAAAAAAAGAAAAAGAAAAAGAAAAGTAAGAGTCCTGCGGTGCTGACAAAACAGGAAGTACAGGGGCTGGGCAGGTTGGCCCTGAAGGAAGCCAGGCCCCATCTCCCCTGAGTTAGGGGACTGAGGAGGACCCTTTCCTGTGCCAGCAAATCCTGTCAGGCCTGAGCCAAGACAGATGGTCAGACTCAGGATACCCAGATTGGGGGCTAGAGGAGGAGGAAAGAAAGCTCCAGGCTGTGCTAGGGTAGGCCTGGGTCCTCAAACCATGCCCTGGTTTAGGGGGCTGGAGGCTGTAAGCAACCCTCCAGACAAGCCAAATCTGAGATGAGGAGGCCAATAAGGGTTTTCTGGACCAGGGAGATGCACCTCTAGGAAATGAGTGCCTAGAAAAAACAAGAGGCTTTCTAGCAGGTGGGACTGCTTGGGCAAAGTCTTGCAGGCTAGTGGGCAGGGGCACTGGACACACAGTGGCTTGAGTTGGATCTCCTTCCCTGATGCCTCTGGTTTTGGCCACTTCCACTTTTGAGAGTTGGGCTTCCTGCACACAATTCACTGGGACCCTGCCTATATACACACCCTCACCCCGGTGCCTTCCTCCCTCGGGACTCCCCATACTCATCCACTCTCCTTCTCATTTTTCAGCACAAGGCCAGTCAGCCTGCCCATGGTGTCCCCCAACTCTCTCCTCTCTACGAACATTTCAACAGCCCACACCCCACCCCTGCACCTGTGGACATCAGCCAGAAGCAAGGTACAAGCCTGGAATGGGGAGGGACCCAGTGAAATCAGAGTCTGAGGGCCAAGTCCCCAGTTTCTGAGACCAGATGGCTAGGTCCATTTTATAACTGGAGAACCTGGGGCTGTGCAAACTAAGGGCCCAAAGAAAATCCCAGAAAGAGGGACTGGGGGTAGGAGGGTACCAGAAGACTGGAAAAGGGGGTGTTAGGTCAAAATGTGAAAGCTTCAGGTTAAGGTAGAAGCCTAAATCCCATGGGTAACCCTGCTGCCAGTATGGGAGCATTACTGAGAACTGTAAAACTGTAGCCTTTCCTCCCCTCAGTAAGAAAATGGAAAGTGGTGGTTGTGACGGCTGATTCACCTCAGCCTCAGGCAAAGTCATTCTGAAATCCCTCATTGTCAGCTGTGGGAAACCTGCTGACTCAACCCTGGGGGTCAGGTGGAGCCCTGGCTACCCAGGCTGGGCTCCCCTAGACCAAGGACCTGCCTCCTACCCAGAAAGCCAGGCTGGAGTCCCCCCAGCAGAGATGCCCCAGCCTTGGACCAGGAGGCCTGGCCTCCATGCCTGAATGACTTCAGCTCTGCTTATTGGCCAGCTGATGTCTTAGACAAGTCACCTAGCCCTCTGCCCTGAGTTTCCTTGTCTGTCAAAGGGACACTGTTCTCCCACTGGGATTGTCCTGAATAAACCAGTTTATGTTTGGTCCTCTAGCAAAGCTGGTGGCGTCTTAAGGCTCCTGTAGGCAGCTCTAGGATATAGTAACTGATGTGGCCTGCCAGGTCAGGCTAGCCCACTCACTCAGCCTCTCTCTTCTGCAGTTCCTAGGCCTCTGCAGACCCCTGACCTCTCTGGCTTCTACTCCCTGACCTCAGGCAGCATGGGACAGCTCCCCCACACTGTGAGCTGGTGAGTGTGGGCCCAATGGGAAAGGGGTACCGTGCTGGTCGGACCAAGACCTGCCTGCCCTTCCATTTCCTCCTCCATCCCTCTTGGCTGGCCACTCTGCTGCCAGCTCTGTTTAGATGCCAGGGACTGGCCAGGAGGTCTGTCCTAACCTGGCTGTGAGCTAGGGGTCCCCCTGGCCTGCATTCCCCAGGTAGCCTGATATACCCCCTTTGGGGAGGCAGAAAAACTGGTCCCTGGTCCCAGCCCTGTCTCCCCCAGTGTCCAAGAGGTCCCCTTGTATGGGAGAAGGCTGGGCTACTAAGGGACCTCCAGGGCCATATGAGTGAGGAAGAAAGGTGGACCTGAGCAGGGAGGCAACAGCATGAATGGCTACCAGAGAGCCTGCTGCTTCTCAGCTCACTGGCCTCAGTGCCTACTGCTTTTGGTCCCTTCCTTGGCTGAGCTGCTTGAGGGGCAGTGTTCCTCCCTGCCCCTTTGGCACCAAGGCTCTGACTAGCCTGCTTGGAGAGTCAGCTGGGCCAGGAAAAGGAAGCCTGGACCCCTAAGCCAGTAGGCCTGACTATGGGCCAAAGGGCCTGTCCTCAGCTGGAGTTGGGCCTTCGCAGGCTACTTGGCCCTTTACTCATCAACAGTGTGAGCTGCGCAGGTCTCTAGCCTATTTCAGAGAGCTGGGCTGTGGCAGTCACCTAACAGCAGGAAAACTTGGCTTCCCAAGAAGATTGGGCAGACCAGAGGCCCAACCTGCAGTCAGCACCCTCCTCCATTCCAGATTCTCTTTGGACAATACATGCTGAATACTAATCAAGACTACCCCCATGAATACCCCTAGGATCAAAGTGTGGCAAGATGCTCAAGATCTCAGCCTTATTGCGCTAGACCAGGGTTCTGTGGATGCAAATCTGTGGGCCAGCCCTTCAAAAGCATCCCCTAGGCCAGCAGCACTGAAGACCAAGAGACTTGAGCCTAGAGCACATGTTTACCCGCCAAGGCTCTAAGGAGGGGACTTTAGGCAGGCCTGTGCTCTCGGGTTCCACCTGGTAGCAGTTGGCTGTGAGGAAAGAAGTGGGGATATTTTAGCCATCTCTCCACTGAGCCCTACTGTGTGCCAGGCAGGGTTCTGGGCACCAGGGAAGCACTGCTGAAGCCAAATGATCCTTAGGTCCCTGCCTTCTCAGAACTCGGTCCACCTAGTGGGCAACCCAGGCAAGAAGCACAGTTATGGGGCACTGTTGGTAATGCTTTGATTAGGGATTGTAGGAGCCCACAGGGGTACCTCATCCAGCGTGGAATCTCAGGGATTTGAGGAGAAAAGGTCACAATCCAGTGTGTTAACAGTGGGTGCAATGGCCCCAGGACAGGTATCAGCCCTGTATTGTTGAAGAAACAGGAAGCAGGCTGGAGGGGCCCAGGGGTCTGCTAAGTGGGGTCCCAGGAAAAGGATAGCATTTCCATCCCTTAAACACCCACACAAGTTTATAGAGGGAAACAGGTGCAGCACAAGCTGCCCTCTGGTGGCAGATGCTTGAAATTCCAGCAAGGCCCACCTGTCTCACACTATGGGTCAAGGCCTAGCAAGGTAGGGAAGTCCTTCCCCATGCCTGGCCAGCAGCCAGACTGCTAACAGCTGTCTCTCCTAACCACAGGCCCAGCCCTCCTCTCTACCCCTTGTCCCCTTCCTGCGGATATAGACAGCACTTCCCTGCCCCCACTGCAGCCCCTGGCGCCCCTTACCCCAGGTGAGTCCCCTACACTGCAGCCAGGCTCCTGCTTCTTGTTGCCCAGGCTTCAGTGCCCATACAAGGCCATGCCCAGGCCAGTGCTTGCCCTGTGTTAGTCTTTTGTCCATCTGTCTGTCTGTCCTTTTGCAGCCCCCTGCTGTCCTGTGCCTGAGAATGAAGCTAGTGCAAGTGCCAACAGGCCTCAGCCCGGGCCACACTAGGCAGCAGAGTGCCACAGAGGCCAGGACACTACATGCACATGTGGCTCAGTCTGTGTGCAGATGGGTGGGCACTCACCTCTGTTCTGCATCCCTACTTAGGAAGACTCTCTTGGGCATCCCCTGAGCTCTGCCCAAGCTGAGACAGCATCTTTTACATAAGTCCCCAATGGGCTGCTGCTCAGGGATAACACCTGTGCAAGCAGTAACAGGCAGAATGGTCTCCACAGAGCAGCAAAAAGTGAAGTGGGAGGTGTGTGTACATATATCCCTTCACTTAGCTGACTTCCTCAGTGATAGACTCAGTGCCAGATACGCAATAGCAGGGGATTCCACAGACATTTCTAGCCCACTGGAGCTCACAGCCCAGCATAGCAAGTGTAGACATGGCACCAGCAGCTGAATGGGCCAGCTGAGTGATGGGGAAGCCCTAAGGAGACCTCACCCGCCCTGATGGATCAGAGAGAGCTTCATGAAAAGAGTAATAGATCTTTAGTGAGAGGGAAACGAAGGGAACAGCCGTAATTGGAGCTGACTGGGAGTGGAGAGCAGCAAGAAGCAGAGGGGAAGAGAAGAGGTAGAAACATTAGTAGGGATGCTCATGCACAGCTGTGCAGGCCCTTGGGAACAGCCTGGGTTCTATTCTATGGATGCTGGGGGAATTTCAGCAGCAGCAGGCCAGGAACATTCAGGTGTGTTGTTTTTTTTTTTTTCTTTCATTCAGTTGTTTTTAATGGTCACTCTGGCTATTGCGTGGAGAGAGGCCTGGAAAAGTCAAGCAGTAGAGGGATGAGGCCTCACAAGGCAGCCACAGGCTCCTGAGACTGGTTGGTGGGGGCAGAACATGAGAAGGGGACAGATTCAATAGCTACTTGGGACCTATGTAGTAACCTGAATGGCAATCTATGTAGATTTTTTGCAGTATGTCTGTGTAGTGTGCTGGGAGCAGGTATTTGTATTTATCTGTGTACTTATGTCCAGGCCAGTAGGGGTAGAGTATCTGTGTCCTCAAGTCATATACTATGCAGGAGCCTCCATGTATGTCCCAAGGTCTGGCCCGTAATTCTTGGCTGAGTGTTAACTTTCTTCCTGCCTCCAGGTTCACCCACCCATCCTTGATGCTCGGCTCTGGTGTACCTGGTCACCCAGCAGCCATCCCCCACCCCACCATTGTGCCCCCCTCAGGGAAGCAGGAGCTGCAGCCCTACGACCGCAACCTGTGAGTCAAGACAATGATGGCAGTGGGTGTGTCAGCTGGGACACACATGCCTTCCTACCAGGCCTGAGGACTGCCACGAGGTCCCTGGCCAAGCTGCTTTGTGTCTCTGGCTACATGTTTTTGGTCCTTAGAGGAGGAAGGGGTGGCTGGGATGGGGAAACAAGGATTTCTCTGAGCTAACAGAGGAGAGGCTCAGAAGTCCTTTACACATGCTTTTCCCACTTGGCTGTAGTATTCCTGTAAGGAACAGATACTTAGCTGTCTGCTCACCCATTTGGGGGCAGCTAGAAAAGATCCCACTTAGAAAACTCTGGTATCATACATACACTTACCCACACACTAGGCCCACACTAGAAGAGGGGACTGCCATTAGGTGGGCACTTGGGGGGGGGGCCCTGAGCAATCTGGATTTCTGCCCCTCAGGAAGACACAAGCAGAGTCCAAGGCAGAGAAGGAGGTCAAGAAGCCAACCATCAAGAAGCCCCTCAATGCTTTCATGCTGTACATGAAGGAGATGAGAGCCAAGGTCATCGCAGAGTGCACACTTAAGGAGAGCGCTGCCATCAACCAGATCCTGGGCCGCAGGGTGAGACCATGGGCAGGTGGGCTGGCAGGCATGCTCCCAGACCATCTTCAGCCTGGTGCAGCCTGCTGACTCCCTGATGCACCCCACTCGCCCCCCTTCCCCACTGCAGTGGCACGCATTGTCGCGAGAAGAGCAGGCCAAGTACTATGAGCTGGCCCGCAAGGAGAGGCAGCTGCACATGCAGCTTTACCCAGGCTGGTCGGCGCGGGACAACTATGTGAGTGGCCAGTGACACACAGCAGTGGTGGGGAGGGGACCCTTTGAGAAACCATGCCTCCAGGCACAATCTCAGCGAGGAAGGCAGTTGAAGGCACAGACGAGAAAGGGCATGGAGGGTCCAAGGCCTCCCATGGCTGGCTCAGAAGAGGCCAAGCCCACATCCTATTCATCACTCCACAGTACACTCACACATGGGCTGTTCCCCAACATTAGATTGGGCCACATGGGCAAAAGGGGAGAAAGCGGTCTGGAAGTCACCTCCCTCCATTCAAATTGGAGACCCAGTTGGGGCAAGGGAAGAGCCTCTAAATGCACTCCATAGCAGCCTAGCAAGAAGAGCAATCAAGAAACACCAGTACCCCCAAGGTAGGAGGGGCCTGTATGCCCAGAATCCCAGGGGTACCCAAGCTAGGCAGCAGGCTGTGGGTATCCCAGTAGCTGCCTTTCAGATCTGAGCATCCCTCCTTTTGTTCCCTGCAGGGGAAGAAGAAGAGGCGGTCGAGGGAAAAGCACCAAGAATCCACCACAGGTGAGACCTTCCCTTAGCAGTAGTGGAGGCTCCTCTCCATGTCCCCATTTCAATAGCATCCCTCCTCTGACCCAAAGGGAGGAGCAGGGTACCCAGCCAGGAACCTTCAGGGCCTGGGCCCTATGAAAATAAGGCCTGCATCTCACAAGTCAAATTCTCATGCAGGAAACAGCTGTATTACACCAAGTCCCAGGGAAACCCTGCAGAACTGGCTTCTGTTGGGTAGATGATGTGTTCCTCTGCCTTGCCCCCACCACCTTTGCTAGCTCCACTCACAGCTAGACTCTACCAGAGAAGCTAGCAAGGTACTGACTGTATGGTTTGATGCTTAGCCCAGTGTCCTAGCTAGTTCTGCTGAGATTGGGAGAGGCTGAGCCAGGCCCCATGACTAGGCCTAGCAGTCACACAGCCTACTGGCTGGAGCCTGGCAATTTGTCACCCCCACTCCAACATCTTTCATGGCTGTGCAAAGTGCTCTGTGTAGAGACGCCCACACCCTGCTGCAGGCCTCCTTCCTGTGGGTGAATTCCTGCTCCTGTGGTAACTTAAAACTCCACATCCATGATTTTCTCAGCTGTGCTATCCCCACACGGGGAAGCTGGAGGCTAGCCAGTGGGACACAGCAGGGCAGAGTTCCTTTTCCAAGGCAAAGAATGGGCCCTTCTTTCCATCTGGAAGTTTGTAGAACAGGCATAAGCTATAGCCTTCAGCCTTATCCCTTGAGGGAATATAAGTCAAGAATGAAGAAAAACAGGATAAAATGGGTAGGGAGTTGGGGAGGAGGTGGGTAGCTCTAAGGCAGAAGAGGCTGGAACTCCATGGTCTTACCTGGGCCCCTCTGTAACCTCCGTGCTGCAAGGACCCCACAAGCCACAGAGATGAGCCAGAGTGACAGGACCCCCTCCCTCCCATTCTTCCCGCTGCCTCTACTGTCTGGCTGGGTGCCCACATTTCCTGATATCTTGGCTCTGGGCTCTCGGGCTCCCACTGGGGCTGGCTGTGCCATGGAGAGGCCCACTCTGTCTGTGGGGGCTATAGGGTATCTGTAACTGGCTAACACTGATGTTACCTCTTCTTTCTGGGCCCTGCTCTGCCCCGCTGCCTGCTCGCCCTCTGCCCTGCTCTGCCCCTCTGGCATGGCTGTGAGCAGACCCTGGCTCGCCTAAGAAATGCCGTGCTCGCTTTGGCCTCAACCAGCAGACGGATTGGTGTGGTCCGTGCAGGTGGGTTTGTCCCCACCATTGTTCTCCCTTTGCTTTAAGCTGCTTCCCTGACTCTGCACATGTTCCACTGGGCCTGCAGCCCACTCCTTTGGCCCCTCAGCCCACTAGCATACTTAGCAGATTGGGGAGCTCAGGCCTCCTAATACTAGTAAATGCTGAACACAGTGTATGGAGAAGACCGCTTGGGTCTAAGTGCAGGAGAAGTGGAAAGACGTGATGTTCCAGAAAGGAAGGACAGACTCAAGAAGGTAGCAAACGGATGGCTCAAACACCACTCAGGGGGCCTGGAGCCCATTCCCAGGCCTCAAAATCATCATGGCCCATCAGTTCCCTCACTTCAAGGTGGGATCTCTGCCTGTACCGCCCTGAGCCCTTAATCTGAAAACAAGGTGACAACACAGAACTATGTAGTTGCTAGGCATCCTTGTGACCTGCTATCTTGCACCTACTGAGACAAGAGGGCTGGAGAGGCTGGGGAAGAGGAACCAGGGTACCCTGGGCTGTCTAAGAAATGGGCCTAGTGGCCCTATGCCCATGTGCTTCACTGTACAACAGAGAAATACCTGTGGGTGTGACAAGGTTTACCCACCAAGTGGTTTAAGTTTCCTCAGGTTCAGGCCAGGCCTGGTAGAGCTAAAACAGTGTACTCCAGGCAGTAAGGCCACTGGCTCTAAGGAACACTTGTCCAGGCCTTCAGAGTGCCCACCATGCTCCCTGTTAAAGAGCAAAGAGGAATTGAGTTTGGAGTGTGTCTGTGTACCCACATATGTATGCACAGTGGGAAACAACCCTGTCTCCAGAGGAGGTTCTATTCCATCCACTCCATCAGAGACAAACTGGCTCAGAGAACTCAAGGATGGTAATGGACAAGAGGAGTCACTGCCCATGTGTTCTTCCTCTAGCCCAGCCTGAGGACTGGGATGGCTGAGCAAGAAAGCCACAGGCATTGCAGCCCCTTGCCCTAGTGCAGATCTCATTCCCACAAACCTGGAGAAGCTCAAAGGCTGGCACTGGGAGATGACTCCCCTAGAAGACAGGTGTCCCACAGCCCTAGTTACAAAAGGCCCCTGTGCCACCTGGTGGCTGTTCTGGGAACTGCACCTGTCCTAGGTCTGGGCCAGGCCAACCAGGCTGGCAGTCTGAGGACACTGACTTACCACACAAGTCATGGGAAGAGACGACAAGAAATCAGCCAGGCCTGTGCAAAGGCAGCATTTTTTGGTTGTGTGTATGACTATGAATTCACCCTCTGTTTACAGATAACTCTCTTCACTATTCCTAGGAGGAAAAAGAAATGCATTCGGTACTTACCCGGAGAAGGCCGCTACCCCAGCCCCGTTCCTTCCGATGACAGTGCTCTAGGCTGCCCCGGGTCCCCAGCTCCCCAGGACTCACCCTCATACCATCTGCTGCCCCACTTTCCCACAGAACTGCTTGCTAGCCCTGCGGAGCCGGCACCTACATCCCCAGATCTCTCCACTGCTCTCAGCCTCCCAGCCCCAGGGCCCCCACAGGCCCCCCGCAGCGCCTTGCAGAGTACACAGGTACAGCAACAGGAATCTCAGAGACAGGCAGCCTAGCAGGTACAGGACAACTGGCCTCCTCCAGGAGCCTATTCCTGAGAGGAAGCAACAGAGACCCAGATTGCATGGAAATCAGCCAGGGGTCCTGTTAACTCCATCTCAGGGTCCAGACCCTGAAGATTTCAGAGGCTGCACAACTTCTGCCTGAACCTGATGCCATCGATTCAAACTGCTCCAAGTGGTGGGAATCAGATCTGTGTTGATGTGTCACCTAATTAAGGGCATATCTTGTAGCTATGGCTGCCTGCATCTGTTCTTTTTACCATCTGTCTTGCCAGCCAGAAGCCTCTGCCTCCCTAGCTTTTCTGCTATAGGTCAGAGATGGGCTGAACTGAGCCTAGCTACCTTCTCTACCCATCTCCCCTAGCCCCCACTGCCACACCCTCCCCATACAGATACTTCATGGACCAAGAATGAGCTGGTTTATCAAACAACATGTGCGAATGGTCACAAACACAAAGCTCAAGATGACAACCCTTCTCTTTTAAGGAAATGAAGAAGCTCTATAAAAAACCAGCTGCTACGCATAAGTTGGACCAGAGGAAGCTTCTGTATTCTCAGGAGCTTGCAAGAAGCAGGGGTGGGAAGGGGAATTTAATAGGTTAAGTTTAGGCCTATCAACCTAAGCAACAGAAATAACCTGACACTACCTTCTCAGGCAAGTTGGGGAGCGGAGGATATAATCTGGTTGTAGTTCAAATTACTTTGAAATGTTTCCTGAGAAACTCACTAGCCTAAGAAGCTCTGATACCAAGGTCCCAGGCTTGTCACCAGCAGCTACAATCAACAGTTCAGAGAAGTCATGGCCCAAATTCAGTGTGCACCCCTCCCCATTCACAGAGCCTTTTTCACAATTCTATTTCCAGTTCATCCATGGCAGTCCAGCCAGCTCCTGGACAGCTGTGAGGCAAACCCAAAACCTCACATCAGCCAGAGCCTGTCTTCCAGCATTCAGTCCAGGCCAGCTGCAGTTTCCCCATGGGGCTGCAGGACAGAGGACCATTACAGCTAAATCAAGGAGCCCAGAAAACCTCCAGTGGTGGACAACAGGTCTTCACCACAGCCTACTTTAACTCATTTTTGAGCCAAGCTTCAACCCTGAGCCTTGAAAAACAAGTTTTTAATTTTTGTTCCTTGCCTTCTCACCATATGTAGCCTGAATCCAAAGAAAAAAGGGCTGGTCAGCCAGGTGTGGTGGCTTACGCCTGTAATGCCAGTACTTTGGGAAGCCGAGGCAGGCAGATCACCTGAGGTCAGGAGTTTGAGACCAGCCTGGCCAACAGGGTGAAACCTCATCTCCACTAAAAATGTAAAAAGTAGCCAGGCATGGTGGTACGTGTCTGTCATCCCAGCTACTCAGGAGGCTGAGGCAGGAGAATCACTTGAACCTGGGAGGCAAAAGTTGCAGTGAGCCAAGACTGCACACCTGCCCTCTAGCCTGGGCAACAGAGGGAGATTCCATCTTAAAAAAAAAAAAAAAAAAAAAGGCTGTCCATGTACTCACACACCCCTCAAAAAAAAAGCCCTTAGTTCCTACTTTAGCCACTGGTTTCTGACTCCAAAGACCACATATTCTAGTGTAATACTGCAAGAAGTCTTGAGAAAAAAAGATTATTGTAGTGTTCAGAGTATTTTTATATTGTTAATGCATCATCATAGAAAAACTTTTTTAAACATGAGAATAAAGACTTTTTACTGGGTTTGTTTTTCAAAGCCTGACGCTGAGGAATAAGCTGTCTCAGTAACAAAACATGGTATTCTTTCCTTTTCTTCTCCAGTCAGGAAACTTGGAGTTTGTTCCCTATGGTGCACGTTTCCAAACCTCCAACCTGCAGAAATCAGGGATTACACTTGTCATTTCCCCTAAAGGGGTGTGGGCCCTGCCTGCCGCACCCCTGAGAGCTGGGCCCATACTCCCATTCCAAGCTTTGCTCTTAAACCCCCCATCCTGACCCCACAATGATGTAGGCCAGCCTGCTCCCCAGTGCTCATATAAAAATAAATGAATTGGAAACTGCCAACCGTACAGCCTGAAAAGACAATCCCACCTGAAATAGGTACACCGGACCACTAGGCTCCATTTCCCTCTCGGGGCAGAGAGAAAACATTCCACAAGTACATATCCTATTTCAAAGAAAACAAGACCAAATAGAAGTCTTTTTATAACCTATTAGCACCATAAAACCCTAAAGGATATTTTAGTAGCATCCTTTCCTCCCAACTGTATCTGTTAAGACACAAAGTATTTTTCATATTTTCACGCAAACCTTCAAGTTTGAGAAATCTACAACCCACTTTTTAAAAAATCATACACACTGTTGGTGGACACTAGAGCCACCATATCCACTTTATTTTTACATTATTTGTATGCATTTAGGGGGTACAAATACAGCTGTGTTAATGGATATATTGTGTAGTGGTGAGGTACAGGCTTTTAGTGCACCCCTCACCCAAATAGTGTACCATGCACCTAAACAGTGTACACTGTACTCAACAGGTAGGATTTCATACCTCATCCCCCTTTCATCTCCCAGCTTTTGAAGTCTCCAATGTCTGTTCCATTCCGTATATCCCTGTGCACTTAACTGTTTGGCACCCTACAACCCACTTTTTACATGGCAGTTTCCACGAAGTACACTGCTATCTTCCTTAGACCTATCATGAATGTAAAAGGTGTCATGAAGGCATCTCAATAGGTCAACAAATAGGTGATAAATGTTGGACAAGAAGCGTTTTCACATGGGCCACCATCTGCATTGTCATCATCATTCTACTGAGTTATATTTTTTGGATTTTATGTTTAAAGATATTTATAAAGAAAGTAATCTTCCAGAGTAGTGTCTGTCTAAAGTAGGCCACTGGACATTGTAACCCTAGACTTGCTTCTTTCTGGGAGAGTGTTAGAGGACACTAGCCATTCTCTGGACATCTGTCCCATTTTAAAGAATTCTGTTCTGGCTACTGGCCTAGTTGTTTGGGAAAAAAACCTACATTCTAGCCAGGGCTTATGCAAAATCAGGTTGCTGCATCTGATTTGGTGTCTTAGAGTACACAGATACATGAACAATGCAGTCTTTGTGTACTGGCAGGGAAGCCTTTGCTACTTTGTTTAAATCAAATCAGTTTTTTTTTTTTAAATCTGACTTCATAAAGGAAAATCAGATCCTCCCAAGTCACCCTGGTGCATTCCTATGAGGCCAGAGGGTGACTTGAGACTGCAACCTCAAAGTTCAACTTCTAATACCATACCAGCCCCCCTTCACTGTCAGCTGAGGACCGACCCTGTTTTCTGAGATGTTATAGGACAAGATACCCTAGACTTTACTTCCTTGAACATTTCCAGACAACTAGCTGACTTGCAACGTGCTTGAAACACGTTCATCCCTCCCCTGGTACACCTGCTCCCCATTTTGTGCTCAGTGGATATGGTGAGGGTTCGGCCTAGCAAGTGGACAAAGCCTATGTCTCCCAATTTGAAGGTGTCTCCTTTAACAGAACCCCACAGCTGGACTCTATTCTGACATGTAACTATCTTTTGAATGGTTCCTGTTGTCTCCCATTCCTTCTGGCTGTGGACTCCCAATAGCTAGCTCAGAACCATGGCTGCCTTGCTCTGTTCAGTATACAGTAAGCCTGGCCAGGAAGGCCGTAAGTAAAGGGAAGCAGAATGGTTCTTTATATCCTGTTCCAGAGAGGAAGAAAGGGAATCAGTTCCTGCATCCATTTCTCAAAAAACAGCACAGAAAAGAAGGGGCAAGAGTAACAAGGCCATGTGAAACTCCTACTTCTTAGGCCTATATATCAAAGTAGAAGAATTTAAGACCCAAATCTAGTTAATTGTATAAAAAGGCTAAGTTGGCTTTTCTTTGAGGTTAGAAAGGATGCTTAAGCATGACTCTCAGATCTCTTCAGAGCTTTCTTTAAGCTCATCAGGGCTTTAAGAGTTCACCAAGGGTCTTTGAAACAGCTGCCTACCCAAGCAGACCCTGCGTGTATCAACTCCCCCAATCCCAACTTATTGTGATCACCTCCTCAAATCACCCTGTGGGCATCTTTCAAATTCAGACTCCTGAGCTCTCCAATGGTATGGAACTACTAACAAACCATTACTGGCAGTGAGCACGTGAAAATACTCTAATGGCAGGGAATCTGAAAACAGGGAACACAGATGGTAGGGATGTTCTCATAGGCAGTCCCCAAAATAAAAGCCTGGCTCAGGTCAGGAGGGATTTTCAAGCTCTTCAAGACAGCACGGGATTAGGCATGTTAACTGGAAAGGGAAAACTTATACGTCCTAGGGGTGGAAACTATCCTATCCCCTAGCAGTCCTCACAAGTTAGGTCACTAGCAATAGAAGGTAAGGGATGTTTCACTTCTGAAGACAAGGGAGCAGCTGTGAATTATGCAGGAGACAGTCCAGGCCAACACTTCTTTCATATTCACCAGGGGCTCTAGACCAAGTAAGTCTTCCTTTTTCATTCAGGTGTTCTCATTCTTTTATCTGAAGCCTTGTTCTTTCAGGCATGTGCAATCAATGTCAGGAAGCAGTGTGGGGGGTCTGGGGGGGACAGGAGGGAAGGAGAAAAGCTAGGTTCTACTCACCAAAAAAATAGAAATTAAAAAAAAAAAAAGTCACTCTGGAAACCCTGCTTGAGTAGCTTCAGGGTACAGAGTACAGCTCCTCTATTTTCCCACCCCTTTCAGTAAGCTTCCTGGAACAGAAAAATCTGCAAAGCAATTGAAGAAGGCAAGGTTAGAGGTTATGAAATGGTATACTCAGGAAAAAAAGGACAAATAGGAATTTTCACCAAACAGGTGGGAGGCATTCAAAATGAGAGCACTTTAATGAAATACGCTGATCCTCAGTGTGCAATCAGAGGCTGCTATATAGCAGGCTGAAAATTTAAAGCTAAGAGATATCAGAACGTCTGAATATACTTAAATACTTGCAGAAAATTTAAAGTTGAGAGATATCAGAAGGTTACAGGAACTACAGATGTAGAAGCAAACGCTGTTGTGAGCAACTACATTCCTACCATAGAATGCTGCTCTATACTGGCACACAGACTAGAGGTAGCCAACAGTACACAAGACTGCAAGGCAACAAGTACATCATCAATGAATTAATCATCTATCACTCAAACTATGCCCTGCATTGGAAGTGTGTCAAGCAAGAACACCTTCAACACCACTTTTCTGCCACCACCAATGATCATTTCCACTAACACCTCAGCAGAAAGGCTAACATTTACCCAACTCTTCTTAGGCGTCCAAACGGTTCAATCTTGGGCCAAAGGACATGCTCTAAACTATTTCTTACACCATACTTCATCTTGATATGCACAGCCAGTTCTCTTATTCATTCTCTTTGACCACTGGAAGTAATGATTTTTAACAACAGTAAACAAGAAAAAGTCATCAGGACCCAACATTCAAGGGAATGGTTTAGTTCAACAACAACAACAAAAATTAGAATTTAATTCAAACACTCAAAAATTGCCCTGCCTAATGTGTGTCTGATGAATACACACTCTGATAAAATACTACTGTCAGCAAAGTAGTATCACTAATCCCACCCTAATTTCTCTTTACAGTCCATATTCTCAAGGAAACTTACCAACACCCAACCTTCTGCTGTTAGTTCCCAACTGAGCACTGTTTTTTCCTCACTATGGCATCTCTCTACCCCCAAACAAATCCAACTTTACAGAACCTTTCCTAGCACCTTTCAGTTCTGTAGTCCCCCACTGGCTCATTAATCTTGTTCTGTACAGAAACATTTTTACTATTTACCCACTGCCTCCCAGCAGTATTTATGCCTTGTCTCCTGAACTACACCAAAAGCTCCCAGCTCCTAAGAGGAAAAGCATGTCTAATGCTTTCTACCAAGGAGAAGCCAGAACTATAAGGATTCAACCATTTTATAAGCTTTCCCTTTGCTTGCACTCTTATTATTGACTTTTTCCTAGCTTAAAAAGTTATTCACACATTGGTTTCAAATCCAGATAACTGAAGATTAACTTTTCAAATCCTCAAACTTTGTAGGGAGAACACTTACGTGGTTGATTCCTTACTACTACAATGTACTCTGAGCTTTATTTAGAAAAAAGAAAAATCGGTGAGTACTGTGGCTCACATCTATATTCCCAGCACTTTGGGAGGTTGAGGCAGGAGGATCTCGAGCCCAGGAATTCAAAAACAGCCTAGGCAACATGGCAATACCTCATCTCTATAAAAAATTTAAAAATACAAAAACTAGCTAGGCATGGCAGCACACACATGTAGTCCCAGCTACCCAGGAGGCTGAGGCGGGAGGACTGAGCCCAGGATTTCGGGGCTGCAGTCAGCCGTGATCACACCACTGCATTCCAGCCTGGGCGGCAGAGGTGAGACCTTGTCCCTTGTAAGAAGAATCAAAAAGCTCTTCAGGCTCTGGGCACAATGCCTGTGGGGTAGCCCTGCTCTGCAAGGAGCAGCGAAAAAACCTTCCGATGGTAATGCTGGCAAGCGAAAATTCAGCTTGTAAAGGGTGCTCAGAGCAAGAGGTTTGCTGCTTTCTCAAATCTCTTTTTCTGGTGGAAACCACTTCATATTTCCCAACTGCCTTGAGAGCCTTGGCAACTTATGTAATTTTTAAAAAACTTATGTTGGGATCATAACACAGCCCATAGGATTGGCCAATTTTTTAAGTAAAATTGAAAATTATTTGGAAAATCTGCCTGCTCTAAGTCAGATGCCCAGAGTGACTCACTGTTCCTCCCTCCCTAGCTAATTTTAAGGTAAGTTCAGCATTACTATGATGTCATGTTACAGGGTTGCAGTTACCTATCCAACCAAGTCACAATATAGCTCTTGCTTAATTCCAGTAGCGGGTATATTCTAACAGTTATAGAGTAAAAAGTCATAGTTATGATCCCACCTGGAGAGCTGCACGATGATTATGTGAATCTTTGGAAAAATATAAGAACTGTAAAGCATTATCTATTTGACATATCAAGAGTAGATTTATTAAAGTAAGCTAACACAACAGCACTTCAAAAGAGTAACTTGCCTCTACAACTTAAGAATTATTAGGGCCAGGTTCCGTGGCTCACGCCTGTAATCCCACCACTTTGGGAGGCTGAGCCAGGTGGATCACAAGGTCAGGAGTCTGAGACCAGCCTGGCCAACATAGTAAAACTGCATCTCTACTAAAAATACGAAAAAATTAGCTGCGCATGTGGCACATGCCTATAATCCCAGCTACTTGGGAGGCTGAGGCAGAAGAATTGCTTGAACCTGGGAAGGGGAGGTTGCAGTGAGCCGAGATCACGCCACTGCACTCTAGCCTGCACTACAGAGCAAGACTGTCTCAAAAAAATATATATTAGAATTTGTTTGAGGGGGCACATCTTTTGCTATGACAATGTTAAGGAGAAAGTCATAAGCTAACATTCAGGAAGGTTTTGGTTTTAGATCACAAGTGACATAATCAATGAAAAGGCAAGAAGTCAAAGGACTGACATAAGGTCCTTGAAAGGACATCATCACTAAAAGCAGCACACTGCAGGAAGCAGCATGCATTTTCCATATTTACAGAGGAATCTCACAAACATTCTTCAATCACCCAAATCGGCCAAATACCTTTTTCCTCTCAATTCTCTTTCCTGGTGAAATAAAGGTCATTTCCTAATTGACCCTTAAGGTTAGTTAATCAAGAAGAGTTTCCTTTCCTCTACTACTGTAAACAGTAATTAGAACATCTTCATAATTCATCAGTAACCACTCTCCAAACCAAGGCTATCCCAGCTCTTCCATCTCACGCATTTTTAAAACTATTCTGCTTTTCATTATGCCCTGTGCCTGCATTTCACAAGGACCTTTCACTTATGTTACATATATTGAAATTCATGGAGTAGTGCTGCTAAATACAAGTTAAATCCTGCTGTCAAGTGACTTCCAATTGTATTGGGATTAATATAAAGCAGACTGC